CTGCTAGCTATGAGCGTCTTAGGGACGGATTAGCGACGACGTTTGTAGCTAATTCCAGTTTTTTTTGTAGTGTTAATACACTACACGCGGGAATCGAGCACGTTTTTCTTCTCAACCAATTCACTTGCCACAAACCATACAAAACATAGGCCTTTCTTCAATTAAGCACTTCTACATCCCCACTAGCACGAATTAGTAAGACTAGGAGGTATGTTTTTTTTTCTTTTCTTCTTGACTATCACATTATTTATAATTGTTTTCTTTGCAATTTTCTTTTCTCTTTCTCTTTTTTTTTCTACATACACTCCATACATTAAGGTTCATCAGCTAGTGGTATGTTTCACAACTTTAGTGCACTTTATGGGCCTTCCATGGTTCCACTCAAAAGCTACTTCCCAAATCTCTCACCTTACTTCTTTTAGCGCCTAAGTGCCTTCGGAGGTAAATGTTCAATAAGCTCAAATTAAGAACAAAATAGGGATACGACTTGTAGTGTGTGTGCCAAAGAAAAGGTCTATAGTCTCAAAAGCGCTAGCAATGGAAAATTTTTATTTGTAAGTAACAAGCACATCTATGATCAAGCAAGAAACGCCTACAGCATCTCCTAGACTAGCACAACTTATTGATTTCTCTTCGATTAACACATGAGGCAAGTTCTAAACTACAAAGATAGTAGAGAATAACACAAATCCTCACACACAAATTGCACATGGCTCAATCAAGACGGTTTTGTTCAACTCTCAAGTCAGGCAAGCACATATAGTTGGGAAATATTAACCAATAATGCACTAGGTGACATACAAGTCAAACATCTAAGAACATGCGTCACAAAGTAGGTTATTTATTTTACTTAGGCATTACAATCCAAATCAAATATACAAAAAGACAGAGTGCATGCCATAGCCTAATGTGACAGCACCAAACATGTCAACAAGGATCTCAGAGCAACTTAGTATTCTTCCTATCTTACACCTAAAATATAAAATACCCGGTTCAAGATACACCCTTGGAAAAGAACCGGTTCCCAAAGAAAAACCAAGGGTTACTACCTAACTATCCCAAGAAAAAAAGAAATCGTTTTGGTGTTTTTAATCGGACTTTAATCCCTAAAGAAAACTGCCCAAAAGATCCATCGTCGGGAAAAGTTCGAGCTTTTCCTAATTTGTTTTTCTATTTTAATTTTTTTTAAAGCCTACTACTCTACTAGACTACTTCTAACTATGGGCTATATGAAAAAATAATGAGAAAAGATTTTCATACAATTACACTTAGAAAGTAATTTTTCCACCCCACACTTATGACATGCATAGTCCTCGATGCATGATCATATAGAAAAATATTAAAACAAGGATGAAAAATACTCCCTGAGACCCTCTAGGGCCTAGCTAGCACATGATCCTTAATATTAAGGGCCGGGAAGCCACCACACTTAAGCTCAACATTCTACTTAGCTTCAACTTCGGATACTCAGACTTCCCCTAATTTGCAAAATAAAAACAAACAAAATACAACACTAAAAAAAAATAAAAATAAAAATACTAAAATAAAATACATGTTGGGTTGCCTCCCAACAAGCGCCTTATTTACAGTCATGGCACGACTCTGCGACTCTGCTCAGGCTGAGCGCTTTCGCTTCCTCCTCTTTCCATGGAGTTTTTCCTTCTTGCGCACTCTAGGAGGCTCTTCTCTTTTCTCTCTAACCCTTTTCTCTTTTACCTTTACACATTCAGCTCGCAACACCACTTCTTCAAACTCGATTTTCTTTTCCATGCCAATAGGCTCCACATAAGGACCTTGTTCTATCAACGTTTGTCATGCCCAAACCTCGGGGAGCGCGACCGGTGCTCAACCGAGATACCCCAGTCGAGCAAGCCTACTTGATGCCTACTACCCAACCTTACCCATGATCAATATAAGAATCAATAACAAGAGATATATGTGAGAAGAGTAAAGCGTTCTAGATTCTTTTTCCATTACTCAAAGAGATTCACTCTTATAATTCCCAAAATATCACAAGTTCATGATTACGAGAGAAAACATGTTTTCCAAATAACAACACTTCTAGTTCACTACCCAATATCAAAAACCACCCACAACATGTCTACAGAGCCTTTAAGTACAACAGAAGAGTAGTATGGAAGTGTCGGTGACAAGGCCCCGGCTATACCTCAAAACACAAAGTACAACGTCAAGTGACATAAGGCCCAGAACAGAGTAGGGATCACCAAAACCTTCTGAACAGAGAGTGACTGCTACCGGGGATCAAAGATGCTCGCTGATGAACCACCTGCATCCATTAAAGATGCAGTGCCCGGGGCAAAAAGAACGTTAGCACATATGGAATAGTACTAGTGTGAAAAGCTAAAAGTCTTCTTTCGAAATAGAATTCCAATATAAGAAAGGGAAAACCATGTAAGCAGCAAGCAACAATCAATGATATCAAAATGCCAAGTTAAAACATAACAATTTTCAAAATACGGAAATAATATTATTTTTGGTTGGGAGATCATTAGCACCGATATACCATCATAACTTTAACACAGAGTCCGATCATGCCCGATCGGCTAGGCCATCTCTCCACGAACAATGTGGATTGACATGTGATGCAAAAGAAAGGTGTTATAAAGAGTAGGAACCACCATGCCCGCAACATGGCGTCCGATCACCACCGACCAGCTAGGTCGTCTCCCCACATGTGTCATGTGAGTCGATATCAAATCCAGGGCTATCAACAATATCATCCCAATCAAGGGGAGTAATATCAATACATCAATCTCATCCCAAAGGGAATAATCACAAATCACTCCTACACTGGCACGTGTAGTTTCGGGTGTGGGCCGTTACGATCGACCATTCCTCGGCTCGTTAATGATACTCCCAAAAATATTTTTGTTTTGCACACAAAGGAAACATAAATTCAATTACATTCACCTCATAAACTTTCACACCATATATAGTTTCACTAGTACTTTCAACCACTCACAACATCATTATTTCATTTGCTCTCTTGTCCATTCATATGATTCTTCATTCAAGGCACGGTGGCCGTAACTCATATTCCACACGTTCATTTCTTTACTTTCTAGGATCACCATCATAAACATCAACATATAGAGCATTCTGGAAATAATAACTTTAAGTTCATTAGCAATGAGGGCTTTAAACACAAAAGATTTCTTTCCAAAGTATGGAGCAAATGACTTGTAATAGCAACACAAGTTAAAAACCATAAACGAGTAATACACCATTTCTTTTTGAAATACTTCTCTAAAAAGGCAATGCACAATTACAACTCATGGGTAAACAAGGACTCAAAACACATTGACAACTCTTACAAAGGAGTTCGTTAGGATTTGCGATTGAAACACAAAGTCAAATCATACGCTCTAGCTACAACAACCAAGGCCATATTTTATATCTCGCCCCCAATTCTCTCACTTCCAAACATAATCATACTTTACCAACAATAAGGGCATTTTGAAATAGAAATTTGATATGTATATGAGCTATATGAGTTTTACGCACATTGGGTTTTCATCCCAAATTGAGCATAGTGAACTTTAATTTGAAACATGAATTGAAGTTATAACATTTTTAACACCTAAACCATACTCGAACATATTCCCGAAGGAGAACATGATGAGATAGGAATAACTAGAACACATTTTGGGTATATACATCTTTCAATACAATGCTTACTTGGGATATCTGAATTTATTAGGAAAACTCAGAACATGGGCCAACATTCATGAAACTTACGGGAACATTATGGAATTCAATTCTAAGATGGAAGTTTAGCCAACATACCTTTCTTGAGCTTTCCTTAGATTACTATAACGTCCCAATACTTCTAGCAATATCAGTCTATAAAAATCGTATAATAATAGAAGGATTTTTATGATATAATTCTCTTGGGAATTTTGTCAAACACATCCTATGCAAAGTAGACTACAAAGCTCTACAACGGTAATCCATTACTCCCTCAACCAATTTCAATAAGTAACTACCCAAAATAGTTCAATAATCTCACATACTACCACCTATTGTCAGATGCAAGGCCTATCTCCAACTCCATAACCTACTTAAACCCATAACAATTGCATGAAAGTTTTAGGACAAGGTCTTACCCCAATAGATGATGGCCTAGTGAGTGATTCCCTTGAATCTTCAAGATTGGGACAAGGATTGATGATTAGATTGGCTAGATCTCCTCCCTATCTCTCTAAGATACCTTCAGTTCTCTCTAAAATCGTCAGATATATGCTCCAAAATGAGCCTCGAAGGTTTTTAATCAAAATGGGGTCGGGTTATAAAAATAAAAAATGGACCCTCCAAACTCAACTCTGCGGTCGCAGAATACACCGCAGAAGAGATATGTGACCCGCAAAATGGACCGCGAAAGTGATGCCAAAAACTGGGCTAGCCTGGACCAATCTATGGCTAGGTCTGCAGTACACAGACCAGTTACGCGGCCGCAAAATGGACCGCATAATCCCCCCTCAGAAATTCTTCATGCCAAATCTGTGATGGAAGTGCGGACCGCGAAACAGGCATGCGATTGCACAATGGACCGCATATCTTCAAAAATCTAACTACCTTTCTGCTCAACCCTGCGATAGGTATGTGACCCGCACAATTGATTTGTGGTCGCGAATCTGACCGCATAATTTCCTCCTTCAGCAAAAATTTCCAACAACTCCTCGATGCATTCTTCAACCCAAAAAGCCCATACCACGGACTACTACCTTCGTACACATTAGACTACCTCGGCACCACAAAATCTTAAATTCCTTGGCGAAATTTTACGGGGCCTTACAACTTTGATTCTACCACAAAGATCATGCACAAATCCTCATAATGCTTAGGAAAGTTAAGCGTCCTGTACACATTAAAGGTAATTTCTTCATCATGCACTCTCAGCTTTAGCTTTCCCTCCCTCACATTAATAAGTTCCCCCCCCCCCCAATGGCCAAGAATGGTCGCCCCAAAATAATTGGAACCTCGTCATCAGCCATATAGTCAAGAATAATAAACTCTGCGGGAAAGATGAACTTCCCTAATCGCACCAACACATCTTCAATAATTCCTTCAGGCACTGCTAATGACCAGTTTGCTAGCTGTAGAGTTATAGTAGTAGGCCTGGCGGCTCCAAGATCGGGCTGCTTGAACATTGATAGTGGTATCAAAGTAATGCTTGCTCGCAGATCGCACAAGGCTCTACCAACCACGTGTTTTCCAATCGCCAGGAGGATTGTAAAACAACCTGGATTCTTTAACTTAGGCGGGAGCTTACTCTGTACTCTAGCACTGCATTCCTCAGTAAGTGCAACCCTTTTAAACTCTGTCAACCTCCTTTTGTTAGCCACAATATCTGTGATGTACTTAGCATATTTTGGGATTTCACGTAACACATCAAACAATGGGATATTCAGTTGAATTTGGCTCAGCGTATCAAAAAATTTACTGAACATCCCGTCATCACTTTTCTTCTTTAATCTTTGTGGGAAAGGAGGTGGTGGCCTTGCAATTGGAGTTTTTTCACTTTCTTCAATTTCTTTCTCAGTTTCCACCACAGTTTGAGGAACTAGTTTTCCCTTAGGAGTGACTTTTTCTTTCTTTATTTTTGGTACTTCTTCTAATTCTCTTCCATTCCTAAAGGTTACAACATTCACCTGAGGATTCTTATCTGTATCACTTGGAAGGGCCCCTGTTGGCCGGGTATTTTGTTGTGCAGCCAACTGCCCAATTTGCCTCTTTATATTTTAAAATGTAGTCTTTTAATTGCTGATTGTCAGTTCGAAGTTGCTGGTTGTCAATCAATAGCTTTTTCAACATATCATTAGTGTTTTCTTCTACCTGTTGTGGTGGACTTTCGAGCTGATTATAGTTTCCTTGGGGTCTGTATTGATTTTGACTAGCCTGATTTCCACCCCATGAGAAATTCTGGTGGTTTCTCCAGCTGGGATTATAAGTATTCTCATATTGTGCATTTTGATTCATTGGACCTCTACTCTACTCGCTTATATAATAAATAGATTCCGGATTATCGGACATTGGTCACTCGTGTGACCCTCTCCACAAATTTCACAGCATATGGCCATCCTCTGAACCTGCTGCATTTGATGCCCTTAACCCATTGTCATATTAGCCATTTGGTTGTTTAGTTTCGCAATATCTTCTTGCGCGGCTGGCACCTCATCCAGCTCGAGTGTACCTGCGCCTTTTTGTTTTATCATCCTTCTTGAGTCACCTTGACCCTGCCAGCTACGATCATTTATAGTGAAGTTGTTGAGCAGATTCTGAATCTCACTGTATGGCTTTCGCATGCAACTTCCTCCACAAGTTGAGTCCGGATTTAATTTGGAGTTCTTGTCTAATCCATCCACAAAAGTATGTCCCAACACCTCATCAGTCTGATAATGATGTGGGCAGTCTTTGAGGAGTTTCTTGTATCTTTCCCAAGCTTGACGAAGAGTCTTACCATCTCTTTGCTGAAACCCAAGAATCTAGCTCCTCGGTGCCTTTGTCTTCTTAGTGGGAAAAAACTTGATTAAGAATTTTCTCACCAGATCATCCCAAGTGTGGATCGGGTTTGCGGGCATGTTTAACCATTCCTTTGCTTTACCCATTAGAGAAAAGGGAAAAAAAAGCTAGTCTGATAGTCCTTAGAGATGTTCGGATAGTTGTATGTATCCGTAATCCCCAAGAAATTTTGTATATGCCTTTGGGGATCTTCACTAGACAAACTCACAAATAGCCATGTGGATTGAATCAATTGCACCATGTACTGCTTCAGCTCAAAGTGCCCAATTATATAAGGCTTCACGATAGCCTGAGTCATGTTCGCGAGACTAGGACTTGCTGCCTCAATCACCGGGTCTTTCTTCATTTTATGCCATCTCGATTGGCTGTGGTTGGACTACGATACCCAACCCTACAATCTTGCTCTTTCTTCTGCTTCCCTCCTTAACCTGTGCAAGAATCTTTCGGGTTCAGGATCAGGAGGAGGAAGGTTGTTCAAACTGTTGCTTCTTCTTAGCATTCAAGGTGAACACCTGTAGAGTCAGAAATAGTCAAACAGATTAACACTTGACAAAAACAAATAAGAGCTTATTTAAGACAAATAACTAATTTCTAAATCCAGGCAATGGCACCAAAAACTTGTTGGGTCCAAATGCACATGCAAGTATAGGCGGTCGACAAGTAATAAAGTGATAAGAAAGTATCATTCCCACGAGGATTTATGATCAGCTAATGTCCAATCTAAGTTATTATGAATTTAATGCTCAAGTGAGTGTTAAGAAAATGATTGTGATTTTTGTAACTAAATTACTACGAACTAATAAACAAGCAAGAAAATAAGATCACAAATAGAGCAAACAAACACTTAGAAAGAATTCAATAAGATGAGGATATTCCAGGGTTATGGGATTAACGTCTCTCTTATTGCGTTTTTCGGGTTGATGTAATCATTTGACTTATCTAATTTGTTTATTAGCAGGGTTTATTATGCTCACAAAGTTCTTTCGACGCTTCGCTCGCCTATTCAGCCAACCTAAGACTATATGTCTATAGAATCAAACTTGACAAGAACGCATGTATATTTCCTTACAAAAATAACCAAGTAAGGCAACTCGAATATGTCTATCCTAATCACGAATCTATGATGCCCGAATTCAAGAACATACTCTATTCAATCCTATATGCAATTTATATAGTTCCACTTTCGAGTTCAACTATAAATTCGTAGATAGTACTCTATTGTTAGCTACGGAATAGAATAATTAAATGCAATATTGAATAAACAAATTACTATGATAAAGTCAAGCAACACAATCAACTGTCAATTTACAATAGTCAAGAACGACCCATAGCCCAAGAATAGTGAGGTTCTTAGCCACTCATGTTCATAACAATAATCAAAATATTGTTTACAAACATAAAAGCTATGAATACTAGAGGAAGGATGGAAGAATTGATGAATTTTGTGCTCCTGAGTGTTTCGTGCTTGTGTTTCTCTCTCAAAGTGGTGTCTTGGGGTCGAAATAACCAAGTCTCGGGCGAAATAGGACAAGTCCCCATCACCGGCGCCCAGGGTAGCTTGGGGCGCTAGCCCTGGCGTTGGAAATTTTGTGCTTCTGGAACACAGGTAGCGCTTTACACCACCTGTGGCGCTACTTTGTGGTTTTTTCTCGTTTCTTCCCCCTTTTTGCTTCAATTCACGCACCTTCGTCCCAAATTGCCTTCGGATGATCCTTACACATAAAAATACCACTAATTAGCATAAATCATTACACTGCACATTCCAAATCTACAAAACATGAATAAAATGCGATGCAATATGCATATAAATATAAATACTTTAAACCGAATATCACCGGTCGCAAACTCTAAATTTGATCGTGATACTAACTTGTCAGTACCATATTTGGTAACCAAAAATAATAGGAGGGGAAAAATATAAAAGCCACAAAGCTGCTAGCAGACATATAGCTCATCAGTCATGGCAGTATAAGTAAATATTTCATGTTTGAATAAGTTTGTGATAATTACAGTTGACAATTTAAAGTTGAGAATGCTATCGTTAATAATTAAGGACAATAATAATCATTAGTGTAGTTATTTAGGAGAGCCATGCCAAATAGTAACCGCATGCGCCATAGGAAGAATAAAAAGGCACGAATAGCGTATAGGTATAGCGTCCACTTCCACGAATTTAGGATTATACTCAGAGGCGGGCCTATATATATATATATATATATATATATGTTAAAGTGAGGGGTCATGGGATCTATAAGCTTTTGTAAAAATATTGTATATGTATAGGTATATACCTTGAAAATAGTTAATTTAAAGTACTTGGCACCCTGAACACTAAAAGCCGCTACTAGTTGAACGGAATATTGTGCTCCCGTCATGAAAAATCATGGGTCCGCCTCTTAATATACTTGAACGCATGAAAGAGTGATAACTGATGGAGTACATTTCACCACATTTTTCTACTTTACTCTTCTCTAAAACTTAGTCTTAAAAGCTTCCCTTCGGCGGGAGAAAAAGCAGAACAAACATCATCCAACACACCAAAAAAAAAAAGGGAAAAGAAAAAAAGTTAAAAGCAAGCTCTTCCCTTCCCCACACTTTACCGCAGACCAACCACCCCATCTAGCCGTTGTTATATATATATATATGATCGTCAACAGACAGGAGGGACAAAAAGAAGTTCCAGAGGAGAAAATAGTAAGGACATTGTTTTCAATCTCTCTATCAATAAGTTACTCGAAAGCAAACTACAGATCGACAGAGATTGGCTTCTGCATTCAAATAAACATTCATCTTCAGCATTAGTACTGCAAGACGTCTTTGGTGCTTATTTTGGTATCAGATTATAGTTAGTTTCATCCGCTTATCTCTTACGGGTATGTAATTGTGATTATTCATTCAATCTTTAAATATAAACAACAAACTGAAACTATCATATTATGAGGCAATAATCCAAACTCTTTCAAGTCTTGCTTAGTCAACATTCCATCTATTATTGGATACTTTAATTTAATCCGTGTAATGAAGTTATCCTCTCTGAGGCCAACGCTAAGGAAAGAAGAATAGCAAAGTTTTTGGGGGGTGGAGGTTGGAAATTAAAAAAAAAAAAAAAAAAAAGATTCAGTGCCTTTAATTTAATTGTCGATTAATACGTAACATGTGTATGATATTTGTATAATTGTATGCATCGAGAAAATTGCATAGAAATTGGTAGATGAAGGCGACACGCTTCAAAATGGGTCTTTATGGAGGAGCTCTTTTGCAGATTCTTTGCTGTTCAAACAAGCAATCTCTTAGACAAGCAAACTTGTCACGAGAATTTCTATCTTGTTTACCTCTTTTGGATAGAATATATTCAAGAATTCAGGTCAGAAACTCGGCTTTTTGTTCTTTTGGTATAGATACCGACTAGGAATCTCTTCCACTTGATGTTGATTTCAATAAGAACCAGTTCTCCTAATGGTGATCACGAAGGAATAATTTTTGAGTGGTACGAGTTTTTACACATTTGACACAATATTGTGAAATGGCAAGATATGATTAAAAACATCCATTTCATCTAAGGACCATATCTCCATTGACATAGCTATACTAGATGCTTTGTAGTTGACAAATTAACTTAAAAAGCTTTAATTCTATACGAAAGTTAAGTATGGATCGGAGTACCAAATATTCTACTTACTATATATATTTGGTTTGCAGAAGGAGAGGTGCTGGAGGGAAGAACTCAACTTCCCCTGCTTCATTGGTACATTTATGCCATGACTACAAATTCTTTGTCTTGGTCTAAAGGATAAATGGAGGGCAGTAATAGTAGCATTGCTGAGAGATATGGCAAGATCAAGCTAGGTTACTGGTTAGACCAATTTCGACATGGCTCTAATCCTTGGATGGCTAGATACATTTACGGCTTATTATTTCTGGTCGCAAATTTACTAGCTTGGGCTGTTCGTGATTATGGCCATAGCATTTTGAAAGAAATAAAGAGTAAGCTAAGATGGCTATTTTATTTTGATGTTTGCGGTGGTACACATTAATTAATTTCTAACAATGTGTATATCTATCTATCTATCTATCTGCAGGATTTAAAGAATGTAATGGTGGTGAAGACTGTTTGGGTGCAGAAGGAGTGTTGAGAGTAAGCTTGGGGTGCTCTGTATCCTCCTAAACAAATCATGGAATTCGATCTAATTCCCTGCTACATCTTTCCATGAGTCAAGCCTTAATATCATATATTTTAGCTTTTCTATTTAGCCATGTTCCTCTCTACTGCTGGTACATCGAAATTGAATGACCGTAGAGAATTATGGCACTCAGGATGGTGGTCTGCCAAGCTTTTCATGAACATTTCTCTAATTCTACTTCCCTTTCTTCTTCCTGGAGAGATTGTTTCAATTTATGGTTAGTACATATATATTCGATCTACTACTTGTCTTGTCTTGTGTTTCAGATATAAATAGCTTAATCATGTTGTGTCTTGTGCACAGGCGAGGTTGCGCATTTTGGTGCGGGGTATGACCAATTGTTCATCTGACATGCTTTCTTTCATCATTCTCATACAATTAATTTTGTTGATTCTCCATTTGCAGGGTCTTTTTACTAATTCAGCTTATAAGTATAATCAGTTTTATCACATGGCTGAATGATTGCTGCCACTCTGAGAAATATGCTGTCAGATGGTAATTAATTGGCTTATTTAATTTATGGTACACTCATTTGGATATTAACTGTGTATAACCAAGTGGTTCGTGCTAATGGGAAATAAAACAATTTTGCTTGCAGCCACATCCAAATGATGTTACTTGCAACCACTGCATATATTATATGCATCCTTGGAATCATTCTAATGTACATTTGGTATACTCCTCAACCATCATGCCTTCTTAATATTTTCTTCATCTCCTGGACATTAGTACTCCTCCAACTCATGACCAGTATCTCTCTCCACCCCAAGGCGAGTCTGAATTTCTTGTCTTACACCTTATTTTTGAGTTGGATATACTTGAGTAAGTATTAAATTAATAATTTTTTTGGCTGCAGGTGAATGTCGGTTTCCTCACTCCAGGTTTTATGGGGCTGTATGTGGTGTTTCTCTGCTGGTCTGCCATCAGAAGGTATGATTTGAATGTTTTGAGAGAGAAAACGAGAGCTGTGTTATTTCCAAGAGTAAGGCCTCATTTATTTGCACTTAATGGAGGTCTGAATCTTAATCATTCAGATCTCAGACAATAACTAGTTTGTTTTTAAAATCTGAATCTTAATCATTAAGATTTAATTATTAAGTTTGTTTGTTTTTTTAACTTCAAAACCACTTAATGGGTCTTAATACATATGTATGATTAAGATCTATAACATAGACTTAATTTCATTAAAATGCTAACATCCACATTCATTATTAATTGATATCACCGCCTACCATTAGCAACAATTACCAGCACCACCTACCACCACCATACTCTATCCCACAACCACCTCCTCAATCATAGCTGCCACCATTATCGTCAACCACCACCCAGAATCCCCACCACCACCATTCTCAACCACAACCACAAACTCATCCACCTAAATTACAACAACTAACTACCCCATCCCATCAACAACCATAACTGACACTGCCCACCATTATAAACTACCATCACCTTCCTCAATCACAATCACCACCACCACCTACCATTATTAATTATTACCACCTACCACCACCATTCTCAACCATAATTGCTATCGCTATCACTACCAATTACCACTAGCAACTACTCAGAACAACCACCATCAACCAAAACCACCATCAACCACCGCCTATAATCGGCATTCACAAGCACCACCGTTAGCAATCACCATCACTAACTACCATATTTTACAAAACATATATATTTTTTATTGATAGAATATTAGATTAATTATTTGAATTTTATGTTTATTAATTATTAAATAAAGATTAATTTTATACATTAAGATATTAAAAAACAAACCATCTTAATTATTTAGTATTCAGATCTTAATACATATAGTATTCAGATGTGTATTCAGAATCAGACGTCGTAATCTTTAAAAAAAACAAAATGAGGCCCAAGTAAATGATGACCGTGTCCATACAAACTATTTATAGAGACCCGGAAACTCGAAAGTCGAAACTATAACCAACCCAAATTACGCAACTAGCCCAAACAGGATACTACACTAACTGTACACACAACCAGAATAAATACAAGGGATCTTTACACAAATAGCCGACCATATTTATTATTTGCTTTTTCTAGCTATCTATATAAATTATACATTGATTATACACATATAATACACAAATTATGCATATATTATACCTCCACCAGCTATTTTTAATTTAAACGGTTGGATAGACTACTATTTAGGTTGATTCTTCTACATATACAAGGTGAGCTTCTTGGCCCAATACAAAACAATAAGTGGCTATAGATTAAGTAATTTTCATAAAATAATACAGTTTAGAGCCTAATTATCATAGGTAATGGTAGTTTGTCTAATTAACATTCATAGCTACTGTTCAATTGTTACTAGCTTACATTACTTGTATTCAGACGCACAACGAATACAGTCTGTGTCAACTGTATTCGTTCGCGCAACGAATACAACATGTATCAAATGTATATTCGTTCGTGCAACAGATTTAACCAAGAGAAAATACAGAATTCAAAAAAATAGAATGCTCTCGTGGCGAGTCGAATTCAAGACCTCCGCTCAATAAGAGAGTGCTTTAACCAACTGAGCTGCGAGAACTTGTTACACTTTTGTTGAGTTAAAAATAATTGATCTTTTGTTTAAGTATTATAGGTGAATTTGCTATAAAATTCAAATATAATCTTAGAATATAAGGTGGGCCCTTAATCATATCATAACGCACAAAGAGGATGGGAGGGGGATTAGACATTTAGCTCACTATATTGAAACTAACTCTTACATTACAAGATAACAAAAGGGGTTTGAATTTGTGTCCTAGGATAATTCTAAGTATTAAGCATTAAATAATTTCACATACATACTATTAACTTGATCACCCTTGAAAACGCAAAAATATGCACTTAGATAATGCAAATATCTTATCCCATAAGCCATATGAACAGTTTCATACATGTACAACCTAATTCTAGAATACTTAATCTAGAATATTCTAAAATACTTTTTAACTGAAAGTACATTTACGAATAGTAAATAGATTGTATATGTTCCAAAACTCAACTTCTCTTCACGATCTTCTACACAAAATAGCAAAAACTCTATTCGAGATATATCTTTCTAGAATTTGAAAAGTTAATAAAGAGACATAAAAATAATGATTAACGACAGTAGAAAAGGGGGATAAAATATTTCATTAACTAGTCCACTAGTCAATAATCTTTATCTCTAACCAATTTTTATTATTATTTCATTTAGAAAAAATAAAGACAACTAAAACCCTTCTCCCTTCAGCATTTACTTCGACAAAGTAGCAAGTATCCATTGACTTTGCGACGTCGACTGAGATTTTTTGGACTACTTACAGACCTTTATTAGTCTTGATTTTGTTTAAGTTTTTCATATTTTTGAACATTCGTTCGGCCATGAACTCGTAATCACTAAGTTTACAAAGAGTTGCACGCCAAGCTTTATTGCAACTAATATTATTTTCATATTTACGTTAAAGATGATGGTGCCCCCGCATAGTTACGTACGTTTAAATTTTGGGTTCGCCTCTGTCTCTAAGTAATGTCATTTGTTGAGCATAGAAGCTGCGCGACAAAAAACCTGAAGGCATATGCATGTCTTAAAGTATTCTCAAGCTTGTCTCTCAGTCATTTAAATATGAGAGAGGACGTAGATAAGTTAAACTTGTCACGGAAAGTTTTCAAGTTAATATTTTCATTTCTTTGAGAAAGTCCCTCTGTTAGGTTCAAGCTTTCATTTGAGAATGTTCGCAATTAGGCATCTATGGTATTCACGAAACTATCTTGAATAAAGTTCTTATAAGTTTCATCTATTTACAGTGAACCCCCAGAGGAGAAATGCATGCGAAAAGCAGAATTGGCAACTGGAAAAGGAGACTGGTTCACCATCATTGTAATTTTCGGACCTCAAAATACATAGTGGTGTAGTAGAACGATCACTTTTTCAGCATCTCATTGAGGTAGATTATCATGATCCTCCCTATTTTAATTTCTACTACTCTAAGTTTTCGCTCTTAATTTTGACAGAGCTTCATTATAGCGGTCCTTGCAATTGTCATTGCAACATTTTCAACTGGAATTGATTCGAAATGCTTTCAGGTTTGCCTCATTTTCATACTTTTATAATCACAATACAAGAAAACAAAATGAAGGGGAAATTTCTAATAGTAGTAAGTTACAGTTCAAGAAGGATGATGCGCCTGAAGATGATGATGTTCCATATGGTTATGGATTCTTTCATCTCGTCTTTGCGACAGGAGCAATGTACTTTGCAATGCTATTAATTGGATGGAATCCTAATCACACCATGAAGAGGCAAGTTCCTTCATCTTGAGACAATAGCTTAATTTTCATTTCGGCGATCTAATTTTTGGGTTCAGTTGGAAGTGATAAAAGATTTCAGGTTGAAACTAATAGCAACAACATATTTTGTAGTTAGTGCATGTCATATGGAACTAGGGGTGGCAAACGGGTAGGTCGAAAACGGGTAATACGGATGGATAACCGTTTTTTTAATCCATTTTGCCACCACTATATGGATCTAATTCTGCCAGAAATGTAACTTAGAATTTCCATATCACATCTTCCTTGTGTTGAAGGTCTTCTTTTCAGCACCTTAGACAGGGTACTTAATCATGCAGATCTAGAAAGAATATTTATGAGGAACATAAAACAATAGTAGTTATATATGCATCAAGATGTAGTTCTCTTGTCCATTGGAAGAAAGAAAAAGTAATCTAACAAGTAACAGCAACAAACGATTCAGGTCAAATTGGTGGTCATAAATGTAAGACCATTTGATGGCAGGGAATTGAAATGCTGTTTGCTCCTTTTCAAAAAATGTTAAATAAACAAATTAACAAAATTTGGAGGTAAGAGTGGACACTTGAATACTGAAGGATGGGAAGATAAATGAGGGGAGGGTCCTTGATGGGATTGGAACCGTGCAATCTACTGTAAAAGTTGTAACTAAATGCTTCTTATTACATGGTACTTTTATTGTTTATCTGCAGGTTTACAATAGATGTTGGTTGGACCAGCACTTGGGTAAGGATAGTGAATGAATGGGTTGCAGTTTGTGTTTACAGTAAGTAGCTCAGCCACTTGGCCACCTTCCATCTTCACTCTTGTTGATAAGGGATAAAGATTTTGGATAATTAAACATATAATGTGAAGTTTTGCCATTCTTTAAATTTTGCAGTATCGATGCTCGTGGCTCCCATCGTTTGGAAGAGCAGGCAAGTAGCAGCAGCATCACAAGTTTGACAAACTTCACATTGCCAAAGATTGTTCCATTCTTATGGCTTTTCAATGGCTGGCCTCGGTGGCTCGGTTCCATGCCTGTCGGGAATAGAAGGAAGTCTCTGCATATGCAACATTTTTTGTCGTCCTGAAGACAAATGTGTATCAAAAGACTTCCACTAACATGATTCATTTAGTTTCTTGATAAAACGAAGTGGCTATAACGTTATAGAATCTCGATTTCTTGATCCTTCTTACAGGTAAATGAAAGCAGAAAAAAACCAAATGCAAAGGGGTAAACAAACGATCGAGCTGTTATTTATCTTTGTTGGCCAATCTTTTATTTTCCTTTGTACAGTTTGTACTTCTCTTGAATAAAGAGATTGAATGACAAATAGAGCAAGATTCTCCATTAATTTGTTTCACTATTCATACAAACATGTTGGGGTTGAAATGACAAGGTATTCATGTTTGATTGACTACATTGTAGATGCTATTATTCTTTTTGTGTGGAGGAGGGATCTCCAAATTAAAGGGGTCTACAACCTTTGTTTCCACGAAAGGGATCTATCAAATATGGAAGTATAACGACCCGGACGGCCGTTTTGAGTATTAGACCTCGTTTCCCCTATTTGATGCTTCCCATGGTTTCTTTTGATTATTACACCCCATATTTTTGTACGTAAGAAATGAGATTATCAAGTTAATCATGTTACCATGGAGGTTACAAATATTTAAGATCATGAATAGCAAGTACCAAGATGATTGGAAGGCTTAGAATCTAAACGAATTGAAGAAAATAAGTTTCGTCGAAAGTCGACAAGTTGAGAAGGTTATAGCATGTACTTTTCGGGTGAGGCTTGTTATTATACTTTATTTGTAAAATAATTCTGGAGAATGTAAAATAACGTATAAATAGAAATGAAAAACAGAAACAGAGTTTAATCCGAGCCCATTGAATTCACAGTGTTTCCTTAAGGAACTTAATCCCCTCCTAGTACCCAAGGTTGTGGATTATTCCTCCCAGGATAGAACGAATTACACACTGGTGAAGGGTACTTCAAACCCCAGTGTTTCAGCGAACACAATGATCGGTAGAAAATCACACTTAATGTTGCTTTCTTTGTAGCTAAAACAATGCAGAAGAAAGGATGAGTATTTTGAAATTCGTATGGAAAATCTGGGAGAATGAGCTCATATATATAACCAATATGTTGAGTTCAAATTGAAGAGGTGCAACTCTTCACAAGGGCTATCATGACCGTTTACGCAAAACGGCCTAACGTAAATGGTTATTTACGCAACAATAAAATGGAAATTCAAAACCTTATTTTTCCGTTACAAAAATGGAAAATGGACGGGAAGAGGACTTAATTTTTTCGTTACGGAAAACAGACGTTGAGGAAACGGATAATTTGGATTTCTTATTAATTTTCCGTTTACAAAAACTGGATATTTAATAATATTATGTTAATATTTACTATTAACAAATAAGTTTGGTCCAAAAAAATTAATCAATCAATCGATCATTTGACCAAATCCAAATTTGAATTTGAAGCCGTAGCCGAGTCCAGCGAGCGACGACGACGACGGCGTGAGGCTTGCCTTCTTCGTAACTCTATAAGAGTTAGAATAAGATCAATTGTATATATACCCTTCAAAAATCTTTTCCTTTTCCAATACGGGACAATGTCCCTTTGTCAAGGAGGAAAACTCAAATATTTTGTTTTTCCTCCACTTCCCATTCACCCTCTTTTAAGCTTATTTTAGCTTAAAAAAACTCAACAATCCCCTACATGAATGGGGGATTGCTATATCACAGAAATATGCTTGAAAAACTGTGTGATTTGCAAGCAAGGATTAATCGCATCTAGATAAGTCGGTTTCCCTTTGAACTTTCCGTAGTGAACTTATGTCGGATATACTCGGTCAATCGGTAGATTTGATATCTTTGAACTGTCGAACTTTGGTGTATACCTAGACAACTATAAATCACATAATCAACCCTTAACCGTCTTTGGTTCTCATTGTTGTGTTCGTTTCAGCCATGAACTGGCCTTACAAAATTCTCCTTGAAGCGGCTAACACTTCACACTTACATAGGTGATTCCTAAACGTGTCATCCTATAGATACACTATTTGATATACCCCGTATCAAATTTAGATATCATTAAAAAGCCTTAATATTTTATCCTTGGTACTGAACATTGTCTCATCACGAGAATGGACCAAAATTTTAGTTGACAATGTTGAATAGTCATTAATGATTTTGTTTGATCTCCTTGAACCTAGATCTTGGGATCTCCAGTCTTCTAGGTAGAGTTACCGCCACAATGACTTGTTCTCGGCCATAGTCCCATTCCACTACAAAAAAAAAATTAGAATTAGCTACGAACGTCGTCGCTAATCTGTCGCTAAAACGCTCGTAGCTAGCAGAAATTTCTTGATAATCCATTGCTAATCCGTCGCTAAATGAGATTAGCAACGGATTTTTTTGTTTAGCTACAGATTTGTCCGTCGCTAAAACTTGATTTTTTAGTAGTGTTCCCCTCGATGATTTCACAACTACCTCTCTAGTTAGGCCTTTTGTAAGTGGATTCGAGACATTATCGCTTGACTTTACGTAGTCAATCAGGATAATTCCTCTAGAGAGTTATTGACTAACGGTATTATGTCTTCGTCGTATATGACGAGATTTACCGTTATACATAATGCTCCCAGCCCTTCCAATTGCCACTTGACTATTGCAATGTATGCATATTGGTGCCAACGGTTTGGGCCAAAATAGAATGTCTTCCAAGAAATTCCAAAGCCATTCAGCTTCTTCACCGGCGTATCTAAGGCTATGAACTCAGCCTCCATTGTAGAGCGGGCAATACAAGTTTGTTTGGACTACTTCCAAGATACCGCTCCTCCACCAATAGTGAATACATATCCATTTGTGGACTTATAATCAGTTGAACCGGTGATCAATTTGCATCACAGTATCCCTCAATCATCGCAGGATAATTACTGTAGTGCAAAGCAAAGTCTTGGGTGTGTTCTAAATATCCCAAAACTCATTTCATTGTCATCCAATGAGATTGACCCGGATTGCTCGTTGTTGATACCCAATTTTTTCCTATTTATTTTTATACTCAAATATTCTCAAAATAGCATGTACATGCATATATAAATCTGCCCAAGAATTTTGACATTTTTTCTAATTTTTAAAGCTTTTTAAAATCATTTTATTATTTGTTTTAGCAGTACAAAATCCAATAATTATTCCCAAAACTATCATTCTGGTGAGTAATTCATTTCCATCCTCATATTTACATCACAATATAATTAAGGTGATTTNAAAGCGCACACTGCGGAGGTTATCCAATCACTTCTTTCACAGCGGAGGAATCCTCTATAGGAGGACTCCCGGATTTGGGATTACTGAGGTGTGTCGAAGCAAAGGAAGCATCCAGGTTGTTGGAAGAGGTTCATGCAGGAACCTGTGGTCCGCATATGAATGGTTTTATCTTAGCCAAGAAAATACTCCGAGCTGGATACTTTTGGATGACTATGGAAACAGACTGCATCCAGTATGTCCGAAAATGCCATCGCTGTCAGATACATGCAGATATGATAAAGGTGCCTCCTAACGAGCTCAATGCAACAAGCTCGCCATGGCCGTTCGCCGCTTGGGGAATGGATGTCATCGGACCTATTGAGCTAGCCGCATCAAACGGGCACCGGTTCATTCTAGTGGCAATTGATTATTTCACCAAATGGGTTGAAGCAGCATCATATAAGGCAGTAACCAAGAAAGTCGTGGCAGACTTTGTTCGCGACCGTATCGTTTGTCGATTCGGCATCCCAGAGTCGATCATTACTGACAACGGTTCCAATCTCAACAGTGACCTGATGAAAGCAATGTGTGAGACGTTCAAGATCAAGCACAAGAATTCTACAGCCTACAGACCTCAGATGAATGGAGCTGTAGAAGCGGCCAATAATAACATCAAGAAGATACTAAGGAAAATGATAGAGAAACACAAGCAGTGGCACGAAAAGCTATCCTTTGCTTTATTGGGATACCGTACCATAGTCCGCACATCAACTGGGGCAAGTCCCTATATGTTGGTTTACGGTATCGAGGCAGTCATCCCAGCCGAGGTAGAGATTCCCTCCCTGAGGATTATACAGGAAACGGAACTGGAAGATGCAGAATGGGTAAAAAGTCGCTATGAACAGTTAGCCCTTATAGACGGAAAAAGACTGAATGCGGTTAGCCATGGTCAATTGTATCAGAACAGGATGTCCAGAGCCTTCAACAAAAGGGTCAGACCGAGACAATTCACATCGGGGCAGCTGGTGCTGAAAAGATCTTCCCGCATCAGGGTGAGGCCAAAGGAAAATTCTCTCCTAATTGGCAAGGCCCATACATGGTTCATCGGGTCCTAACAGGAGGGGCCCTCATACTCGCAAAAATGGATGGAGAAGTTTGGCCAAAGCCAATTAATTCAGACGCAGTCAAACGCTATTATGTGTAATCATTATAATTTCTGTATGATGTAATTTGAACTACGCCTGACCTGATTCCTATTTAAGAGGGGATACGTAGGCAGCCCTATGGGTTCGGTCACAATTCAATAAAAATCTCATTTCCCCCGATATTGGAAACTGGGGCAGAATTTTGAGGAGGACCCTTAAAATTCCGAAGTTGACTTTCAGCCATTCATCGCGCGCAGCCGTCAGAAGCACCAGCCCAGTAAACTGGGGCAGAATTTTGAGGAGGACCCTCAAAATTCCGGAGCAAAAGAGGTCGCGATAACTTGAACCGCGTCGCAGTCGTCGGTTCATCTAAAAAATCATTTTTAAATTATGTATTTACATCATATTTTTTACTAAATCATACATGGCTACTATTAAAATTGCTTTGTTTAGCGACGCTACCCCAATGAAAGCAAGAGCGAGTAGGACAAGCGAGGTCCACGGGAAGACGAACTAACCTTCCCCCTCTACAAAACTCACGATTTTTCTTTGTCTGCAGGCACCCCAAAACATCAGATATGGTTACGTACTCATATTTTTCAGGAATACAACTCTCAGAATCATCACCTATTTACAAGAGCTATCCACACACGACATCCCCAGCAGCCACAATAACGCAATTAATTATCAGCTATCAGCTAAGATATTTCGTTACTCTTCACCTTTATTTACTGCATTGCATAAGGCTACCTTTCTGCCTTCCGAGACTAAGCACTGTCTCCATCCTGCATTTCCTTGCAGTGCATAAGGCTACCTTTCTGCCTTCCGACACTAAGCACTGTCTCCATCCTGCATTTCCTTGCATTGCATAAGGCTACCTTTCTGCCTTTCGAGACTAAGCATTGTCTCCATCCTGCATTTCCTTGCATTGCATAAGGCTACTTTTTTGCCTTCCGAGACTAAGCACTGTCTCCATCCTGCATTTCCTTGCATTTCATAAGGCTACCTTTCT